CTTAAGTTTATCTGAGAGTGAGTTCTTGTCATTTCTAAGTATACTATATAAGTAGGGTCCCTGTTATAGATCATTGTGGTATTCTTCCATTTGGCTACTTCCATAATTTGTCTGACACTTCTTTGGAATGTTAATTTTGTGTGATGTCCTTCCTTTCTTTTGTCTTTGATTTTAAGTTTGTTGTGTCCTTTTATTAGCTGTTGGGTTATTAGGATTGGGCTATTCAAGCAAATGGATTTTAAAGAACTATAAAAACATTCATAATAGATGAAATTTTTAAAATTTTAATATTTATATTATGTAAATTAATGGGCAGTTTCAACAGAAAACTACAAAGAGGATAAAACTTTGACTCCAACAATAGCCTACAAATAAAGGTATGTTGTGAGTGGTATGCTTCATCATTTGTGGAATTATTTCATCAATTATGAACGTTTTTATAGTTCTTTAAAATATTTATTTTAAAATAAAATGTGATGAAGCACTTTTATAGTAATTTTTTATAATTTTTGTAATTTTAATAATGGTATTTGAATAAATTTAATCTATACTTAATATATTTTTAATTATTTTGCAATAATAATAAAAATCACACTTACAGAACCAAAATTCAGCATGCAGAACAAAGAAGTGAAAGGAAAATGAAAAATTTTGATTGCCTTGAGCAACTGTTTTCAGATTAAAAGAATGGATTTGGAAACTGAATGACAAATGAAATGCTACAATTTTCCTTTCATGTTTTTTGTTCTACACACTGGATTTTTGGTTCTGTGAGTGTGCTTTATACTTTTCATCCAGTATAATGTGTGTTTATTACTTAATAATAGTAATAATAAAACTACAGAATTACAAATTTTTCTTTTTTTCTTTTAGCTAATTATTACAAAATGGCCAGTATTAAAACCAATTGTTAATCAAATTATGGATATATATTTTATGATTTCTTCTGGAGAGCATGATCATGACATTAGTAAAACCATTATTCCAAAATCATCAAGTGGACGCCTTATATCTACAAGGTAAAAATTTAAATTTTATCTGTTTTTACAGTTTTTTAATTTTTATGTTGTTATATGTGGGGTGATCAAAAAGTAACTTTATAAGTGTTATGATTTAAAAACAAAAGCATTCATAATTGAAATCAAATGCAGGTAGTAAGTAATGATCCAGATTGGCAACATTGAATAATTAGAATGGCGTGAATGCAGGACAGTTGTAATATAGCATTTCCAAATGATGACACAAGGTTAGAAAAATAATCTTGTGAAAAAGTTTGAGTAGTTATTCAATTTTTGTGGACCAAAAATGTTTCACCTGCTGAAATCTATTGAGATATACAAGGAGTGTGTTGTCCTGTCAAAGTATTGCATAATAATGTCGAGAAGTTTGCAAGTTGACAAGAAAGTGTGAGTGGTGAAAGCTACAGTGGACATCCAACCTGCTTGACAATGGAAGTCAATGTTGCAAGAACTGACAAACTGATCCAGATTGGCAGACATATTACTTTGCATCAAATAACTTTTCTGAACTCTTTAGCTGAAGCATTATTTTTCTCCATGACAGATTTGATATGGTACAGTACATCAGACTGAATTTGCTGCAGAATATGTTTTGAATTGATTGAATTAATTAATAAATGAATTTTGTAGAACTGATTTTAAGCTATTTGAAGATTAATTAGTAAACAAATTTATTACTAGAAGTAAACTGAATAACCACTTCATATTGGCTGTAATTTTTAATTTAATTAACAATTTTTAAACTTTTAGAAAGAAATAAGTTGCTTTCATTCATAATTCAGATATGCAAATCTCATATGCTAGATAGATTGCTTGCTGTTTTGCATCATGCACTTTACAAGTTTTTTACAATTCACTTACATATTCAGAAATGCATTGCTTTTTTATAATTATACATTTAACTCTAACCTAACTATCATATAGTTCTAGCTTAATTTTCTTTATTTTGTAAATAATTATTACATACAAGATCTCATAAGAACATGTTTTCAACACTTATATTAAATATACTGGTGTGCGAAACTTAAGCAACAATTTTTTTTTTTTGCTGTAACTGCACAAGACATCACCTGAGAAACATGAAATTCGGAATACAGAGACAGTATTCTGTACTTAAAGGATGGAGAAAGCACACTTGCGCAAAAATGAATAGAATGCACACAGTATGGAATCAAATTTTTCTTCTTATTGTAATCTTGCACTGTACGTGCTGATTGCATGTGCTTTGTGTACCCTCACATCACCTGTGATGTGTTCTTTCTGCATACAAATAATTTTTCTACTGAATTGAGTGTTCATTGTACTGATCGCAACAAGACTTTTTCTACAATTTCATAGCTGTCTGTGTAAAAATTACATCATTGCTTAAGTTTTGCACACCAGTGTACAAATAAAATGTCATTATATAAAATTAATACAAAATTATTTTAAACGTTTTTTTAATATTATTTTTATTTTTGTGGCGTAATAAACACTAGTAATGTGTTTTATTCTAAAGACACATGGCAAATTTTCCATCAAATTTCTTTATTAGTTGATACGGTACATTTTTTACTAGTTTCGGGCTTTGCCCCTCTTCAGTCAACTAAAATACAATATATATATTTAACTTATAACAGTAGAGAGTTTACATAAAATAATGAGTACATAAATGATATATAGACGTACCTTTTGGTTACNTTGATATGCAAATATGTTTCTTTACTAAAAATTTTTCATTATAATCATTTTAATAAAAACAAAAAACTAAATAACATAAAGTTCTTTAATCTTGTATTTCATTTAAATCATATGGAATATTTCTTCTATCTGTTTTGTTATAGAATGTATTTGAATAAAAAAGAGTAATCGTGTTTTTAACAATTTAAATAAATTGTTAAAATTTGTTAAAATTGTTAAATTGTTAAAATTGTTTTTAACAATTTAAATAAATTGTTAAAAACACAATATTTCTGCCATTAGAAAATTTATAAACAGAACATTTTAAAACAGAAAATTTTTTTATTTTGTTTTGTTTTTTTTTTGTACATTTTTATTTTTGTGAAAAAGGCAAAATATAATTCATTAGTAAGGTTTTCATTTTTTATTTAATTTAGTAGAAAAATGTTATGACATCTTGAATTGCTGATATTAGGCAATATGCATCATATTTCTGATAAATGACTAATAAATTCTGTTAATTTTTTGTTATGATTATAAGTAAAATTATGTAGGATTAATAAGCATGCTCATTAATTATGTTAACATGTTAAAAAAAATTGAAGATTGAATGAATATTTTTATTGATATTTTTCATTTCATCTTTTAATACATTTAAGAGATACAATTATAATTATTTATTTCAATTAATTGTTACATTGCTTTTATTAAGCTTTTTATCTAATTGAAATAATATAATTTGATTACAGGCCATAAACTTACTGTAATTAATATGAATCAGCAAAGTGATAGTGTGGATCTTTTAGGAGGGTGTGTATATTTATGTATAACTAATATTTGATCATTGTTAATAATAAGATTTGTGTAAGAAATATTAATTTTAAAATATAGGCATTTAATTCACAATTTTAAAAGTTATAAAAACATATTTTTTACATACTGAATTCAAAATCTATGATATAAAATTTAAAATAAATAATTTAATTAAAATTAAAATTAATATTAATTATTTATATACTTAGGTATAAGCCAGTTAAACTGAAATCCATAATAGCTCCATTGCATAAAGAATACGAAGAAATATTTTGTCAAAGCTTTTCTCGTATTCAGAATATCAAATTTCTTGGTTATATTTCAGTAAGTATTAATTAATTTTTTTTAATTGAAGTATTAAATTTTATTATACAAAAATCACGAATCAGAATGTTGTTTTATTCTAACTTTATTGTAAAATAATATTTTTGTGACTCTATGTACTTTATTAAAAATAATTGATATTTTAATATATATAAAGTTTTATTTATTTTTATGGGAAAAAGACATATTGTTCAGTTATAAACTAATGACTTTTCAACACATGTTTAATTAAAGCAACCAAAAAATATTTATTCTAAAAACATTTTCAGCTTTCTTGAAGCTGTCCTCTGCTACTAAAATTAGACCTGTTACATATTCTAAAATGGAACACAGAGAATTATCACAGTATTTTATAAGTGTTGAGATGTTTGTGGTACTGAGTTTAACAGAATTTGCTAATAAGATTATGTAGTGATAATTTTTGTAAAAAAGATCTTTTAAGAAACATTGTAATCTTGTAGTTTTTTGCAATTTTGCTTATGGGTTTATTAATCATGTTTCTTTTGCTTTGTAGCTTTAAGATCACTGAAAAATATTTTAATAGATTTTTTTTCAATTCTGCATCTGATTTTCCAACATAATATAGTAACCAATTCAATAGATACTTATTAATATATTCAGATATTCATACTAGTAACACTGTAGCCTGCCCCAAAAACATTTTTTGCATGTCTCAAAGTGGCAGATATCAGATCAGAAGATTGTTATTAATCAAGCTGTTTGTAATGAAACAATTCATTTCATTTTGAACATCTACAATAAATATTTTTACCACAGAATTTTTACAGTGGCATTAACATAATTATTTGATTATATGAACTTATTATTATATTTTTGGAACTTTAAAAACTATTAAAATGATTTTATTATAGTAACATTTATTGTTTGAGCAGTTCCTAAATTATTGTTATAATTTAAAATAAATCAATGAAAATATGGACTAAACTATAATAATAAAGAATAACAATTCTATATATCTGTATTTCTGTAAATTCTGTATTAAATAAACTAATTTTTAGCTTATTTAAAATATAGAAAAATTAATAATATTTGATTACTTTATTAGTAAATTCCCTTATCAGACATTCATTATCTTGATAATGATGATTCTAATTTTTAAATTTGAATTTTTTTTTTAATTATATATTTGTAATATATATATATATATATTTTTTTTTATTGTAGAAATGCTATTCTTCTCAAAGGTGGCAAGATATGTTTAAATTAATGTTGCATACTCAAAAGAATGCTATTGAGAAATACATGTCAGGTAGGATATATATGTAATAAACATTTGTTGTTGCTTTGTATAACAAAAAGAAAATATTTTTTTTCACTTGATTTGGTTGAAAAACATTTTTATGTTGTGTTTTCATTATTTTTAAAATGAGAATTTTGTTTTTATTTTCTATTTTCTATGAGGATGCTAATGATAGACTTTTGGAAATTTGCAAAAAATTTATTTATTAACATAAGGCAGTCGTTCTGATCAAATTTCAGTCAAGGAGTGTGAAAATCACGATAAAAAATTTTAAATTGCAATAGTTAAAGTATAAGAGACAGTTAAAAATACAAAAAAAAATCATCAACTATAAACATCATTTCATTGGTTTGGCATCACAAATTTGTAATGTGATATCTTCTCTTACGGTTAGTGTGTATAATATGCATATTTACACCTTTATCATTTATAAAGTTTGTATCATTCAAAATGATCAAAGACATCTTTAAAAGGTTCATTTTGACAAATCCATTTAATTCAGATAAAACTACATTAATAAACTTATTACTTTGCCAGGACTAGGCTTTTTGTTCCTAAACACAGTATCCTCTAAATCTAAGTTTCACTTCATATGCAAAATTGTGTAATTTGCTTATTTGACTTTTTAATCTCAGTGACTTTATATGAATATCAAATAAAAGTAAAGTAATCTTGCTTGCTTGCTTATGTATATGAATAAACAAGTGGGCCAAATTAATTATATAGTTGAAAATTACTACTATGTAATTAATTTGGTTTTAGTGAATATTTTATTTTGAATATGTATAAATTTTAAGCTGTAATTATCATTATAATTGTTTATTTTGTCAGATTTTTTAAATCAATTTTAGTTAAAATAAGTGTATATTTTATGTAAAATTGTTCTTAAAATGTCTCATTTCACTTATTTTTCTTAGTCACCTGATTTATGCATATTCCATAGTATCTTACTATATGAAATTTCAAATGCTATATAACCCAAGTCAACTTCCAATTTTGGAATCTTTACTTTTGAAAGAAATTAGGACTTGAATATAACTTGATCTTTTATTATTAATTTTCTTTTTTGCCTGTATAACTTAATGGTCTGTAGAATTTTTTTAGACATTTTACCAGTCCTTGGGCTTAAAAATGTTGAGAAATGCTGCTCTAACCTAACTGGTCTGCCTTGCTTTTTCAGCTGTAAAAATTCAATCTTTTTGATTTTTCACAACATGGGTGTTTGTATATGGATGTATTGTATGTTACTAGATGAAAGCACAATCATTTAAAGTTTAAATGGAATGACTACAATTTTAGCTGAGTGATAGTTTCATGTGACAGATGATTGCTGCTTATGCTTTATCTAAATTGGGTTTTAAATTATGAACATTTTATTTGCTTTAGATAAGGTTAAGCAAAAATAATAAAATACTTCTTTTCTATATATTTAAAAAATAACCATTTTATTTCTTTAATGTTGTTATTATTTGCTTAAAAAACAAACACAATACAATAATTCTGGAAAGCAGGTTTATCAATACCTCTGGTAACTATTTTTTCATTAGTATAATCTGCTTCCTTTTTAGAATTATAAGAAATAAAGCAGCTTATAATCAGAAATAAAGTAAGCCTAATATTGCTGAGACTGATATCAATATTTGTGAAATATTATGCTGCAAATTTATTAATAAAATGATATTGAAAAAATACAATATATCAATATTTTAATATTGTTGATATATGAATGGCATCACTAATTTGTACCAGTCAGGATTGACACTTGACTGATATATACATCACATCTCATTCAAATAAATTGCAGTTTTCTTCTACTCCTGCTCTTGTCAGATAAATTATTGTAGATTGGCAGATTACTTAACAAAATCTGGATTTATGTTCATAATTTGACAAACTTGCCTCAGGGTCAATTCACATTTTTGGATTATTTACTGATTCTGAATCTGGCAATCTGAAGAGTGGCAGATTAAACTCTGATTAATAAATAATTGAAACTTTAAAAGTATCTGCGAGCTCGGAAAATATTTACTTTTTTTATAGATGGGGTGATCAAAAAGTAACTTTATAAGTGTTATGATTTAAAAACAAAAGCATTCATAATTGAAATCAAATGCAGGTAGTAAGTAATGATCCAGATTGGCAACATTGAATAATTAGAATGGCGTGAATGCAAAACAGTTGTAATATAGCATTTCCAAATGATGACACAAGGTTAGAAAAATAATCTTGTGAAAAAGTTTGAGTAGTTATTCAATTTTTGTGGACCAAAAATGTTTCACCTGCTGAAATCTATTGAGATATACAAGGAGTGTGTTGTCCTGTCAAAGTATTGCATAATAATGTCGAGAAGTTTGCAAGTTGACAAGAAAGTGTGAGTGGTGAAAGCTACAGTGGACATCCAACCTGCTTGACAATGGAAGTCAATGTTGCAAGAACTGACAAACTGATCCAGATTGGCAGACATATTAATTTGCATCAAATAACTTTTCTGAACTCTTTAGCTGAAGCATTATTTTTCTCCATGACAGATTTGATATGGTACAGTACATCAGACTGAATTTGCTGCAGAATATGTTTTGAATTGATTGAATTAATTAATAAATGAATTTTGTAGAACTGATTTTAAGCTATTTGAAGATTAATTAGTAAACAAATTTATTACTAGAAGTAAACTGAATAACCACTTCATATTGGCTGTAATTTTTAATTTAATTAACAATTTTTAAACTTTTAGAAAGAAATAAGTTGCTTTCATTCATAATTCAGATATACAAATCTCATATGCTAGATAGATTGCTTGCTGTTTTGCATCATGCACTTTACAAGTTTTTTACAATTCACTTACATATTCAGAAATGCATTGCTTTTTTATAATTATACATTTAACTCTAACCTAACTATCATATAGTTCTAGCTTAATTTTCTTTATTTTGTAAATAATTATTACATACAAGATCTCATAAAAACAGGTTTTTAACACTTATATTAAATATACTGGTGTGCGAAACTTAAGCAACAATTTTTTTTTTTTGCTGTAACTGCACAAGACATCACCTGAGAAACATGAAATTCGGAATACAGAGACAGTATTCTGTACTTAAAGGATGGAGAAAGCACACTTGCGCAAAAATGAATAGAATGCACACAGTATGGAATCAAATTTTTCTTCTTATTGTAATCTTGCACTGTACGTGCTGATTGCATGTGCTTTGTGTACCCTCACATCACCTGTGATGTGTTCTTTCTGCATACAAATAATTTTTCTACTGAATTGAGTGTTCATTGTACTGATCGCAACAAGACTTTTTCTACAATTTCATAGCTGTCTGTGTAAAAATTACATCATTGCTTAAGTTTTGCACACCAGTGTACAAATAAAATGTCATTATATAAAATTAATACAAAATTATTTTAAACGTTTTTTTAATATTATTTTTATTTTTGTGGCGTAATAAACACTAGTAATGTGTTTTATTCTAAAGACACATGGCAAATTTTCCATCAAATTTCTTTATTAGTTGATACGGTACATTTTTTACTAGTTTCGGGCTTTGCCCCTCTTCAGTCAACTAAAATACAATATATATATTTAACTTATAACAGTAGAGAGTTTACATAAAATAATGAGTACATAAATGATATATAGACGTACCTTTTGGTTACACTTTGTATAATTTAAAAACGTAAAATCTGCTTTAATCTTTGTATAACTAGTATATATTATAAATAAATTAAAAGGTTAAAAGTTCTAAAATCTTCTCTTATAAGCATATTTCGATACTACAAACTGTAAAAAATTTTTAACTGTTTCCTCCCCCTCT